CTTTTTTAAAGTATTGAAGAGCAAAGATGTCAGCTTGAGGACTAAGGTGCGCCTAACCCAAGCCATGGTATTTTCAACAACCTCATATGCATGAGAAAGCTGGACAGAGAATAAGGAAGACCGTAGAAGAACTGATGCTTTTGAGTTAAGGTGTTGGAGGAGAATATTTAAGTGCCATGGGCTGCAAAAAGAACCAGTAAGATCTGTTTGTGAAGAAGTGCAGCCAGAGTGCTCCTTGGAGGCCAGGATGGCCAAACTTGGTCTCTTTTTTTGCCAGGAGGGACCAGTCACTGTTGAAGGGTATCATGTTTGGTAAGGTGGAGGGTCAGAGAAAAAGAGGAAGATCCCCAATGAGAAGGACTGGCCAAGGGGCAGGATTGATGGACTCAAGCATGGCAACAACAGTGAGGTTGGCCCAGGATCTGGCAGTGTTTGGTTCTGCTGTGCATAAGGTCACTATGAATCGGTACCGACTTGCTGGCATCTAACAACAAACAACAACATCATTAACAATCTAGCCATGTAGCACTTGACAATCACAACCACCCTACAAAAAAAAAATCTCCAAGCTGTTAAAGGATCAGCTCCACTGCAAGCTACCAGGCTAACAAAAACATGAAAGGGATTGATATCAGATAGGGAGAAATTGCTAATGCGGTGAATTGAGGACCAAAAACAAAAGCAAATCCCTCTCAGCACGCTGATGACCCCTGCTAAGGAAGGAAGCTTGTCCAAGATGCTTAAGGAAAAAGAAGGATCGGACACACGATGTCCAAATCACAAACCATTCCATTTCACAGAACGCAGCATGGATGTTAAGTGATGCATGATGATATTTGAATTAACTCTTTAAATAAAGTAAATGGGAAGTGCACCAATACCAAGGAATGTGAAGGCCTCCCACACAGTAAGACTCTGTACAATCTCCCTGTTGTTGTTAAGTGCCATTGAGTCGGTTCTGATGTATAGTGACCCTGTGTAAGGTTTCCGAGGAGAGGCTAGTGCACTTGAACTGCCGACCTTGTGGTTCAAACCCATCTTGCAGTCCTGCGCATTAACCCACAATGTCACACCAGGACTTCGTACAATCTCCCTACGGTTTCAGAAAGATGCCCTTTGAATAGAGAAAAGACTACTGGCGCCAATTTCTCCAAGTTTCACAAGCCAACAAAAGATGAAAATATACAAAGCTCAAGATACTTTAAGTTGAAGGCTTCAAGGAAGTAATAATTTACCGTCTTTTTCGAAGAATATGAATCCAGACGGTCCCAGAAAGGAAGAAGAAAAGGGCCATCGAAATGTATAACTTGGGGAGAGGAATTTCTCCTGCTGAAAGGTAGCTGTCAGGATTCTTCTCTGTGATCTCAATCTGAAATCAAGATGAAATCAAATTTTACTTTTAAGTAGTGGATTACCTTATTCAGCAATTTGGAATCTCAGTTGTTTCACCTAAACTAAAGAAAGTTAACACCAGGAGATCACAAACACATTTTCAATGCCAAGGTTAAAGTACAAACACACTCTAAGTTGCTTTTTATTTCCTTAGTGATGAATCCTCTGCTAAATGTACCCCACTGGTAGGCATTTTAGTCAGCCACATTTTTTCTCTTACTCTGCTTACGTGTTCCTAAAATCTATGCTTATAAAAAAATGTCATGCATGTCACACTACTGGCAAAATCCTCAGACCAGCCCACATGAGCAATCCACATTCCGTACTCACATCAAGACTGAATGAAACCTTGTCACTAGATCGCACTTCATTTCCAAGGCAGTTATGAAAGTAAAGGCTATAGAGGCCTTCTTGATCATCAGTGCTGATGTTAAAGAAAAACTGAAAATGACAAAGAAAAAAATTAAAGGGTACCAAAATCTTTAACTAAAATTTAAAATTTTAGAAATACATTATGAATCTTAGGGACAGAAGATAAGATAGACCATTTAAAGAAATCCTTCTAGAGCAGAGCTTAGACAGATGTTTTCGAGTCTGTGGTTCTCCTCCACACTATTTTGTTAGTTAACAAACTTGAAGCATTCAGAAAAGCTGAAAGAACTGAACACCTGTTGCTCACTGCCTAGATTAGATCATTCAATTGTACTCCGCTTATTTCATTACCTATCGCTCTACCAAAGACAAACTTTAAGACTGCAGAGATAATTTACAAAGCAGCTATCTAGGTTTCAATCCAATATATTATTCTCTCCTTTAGACAGAAATCAGTGCTTAAAAAGAACCAAGGTTCACTGATGATACTTGAATAGGCAAAAGCCCTAATTAATCTTCATCTATGACTTTAGACAATAAAAACAGGCTTAATTTTTTACATTTAGATATTTTCAATATATTTCATGTTTCAAATAAAGTTCAATAAAATTTAACACACACATACATATATATGTACTTAACACATACACACACACATGCAAAAAAAAGGATTTCATGGTCAATTTTATGAACATTTTATTGTAAGTAAAATGTTCGTAAGTGGTCAAAGTTTGGCAAAGCAATAGCAATAAAAAGGAATCTTCCTAAAATACTGTTTCAATAGATAAAACATTAAACAGTATCTAATATATGAAATATAAAATATTATTTAACAGTCTTTTAAATAAAGTAATAATAAAAGGTACTACTATGATTGTTGAAGGAGCTCTGGTAGCATAGTGGTTACGAATCAGGCTGCAAACCGCAAGGCCAACAGTTCAAAACTACCAGCTGTTCCATGGGAGAAAGATGGGGCTTTCTGTCACTGCTAGACCTGGGAAGGGATGAGCGGCACATGGGGTTTCTGGGGTGCTAGAATGCAGTGGTTCCATTTCTTGTCACACAGGAGATAGCTTTACATTCTTTATTAAGCTCAACATAAGTATTATATACACTTCTCTGTGCACTATACAAACATATACTATACCTGAGTTTTTTTTAAATGGGAAAAAGAGAAAGTTCCTAAGATAGAATTAAAAGATCAAGAACAGTACTAAACTCTAAATATGAGAGTCTGTATTTTAGCCTACTCAGAATAATCAGAAAAAGAAAACTTTCCTAAACATAATCATTCTCATTTCAAAAGTAAGACTTGTATGAAATTTCTAAGAAAGATTAAAAAAAAAAAAAAATCAACAGAATCACCATGTTAATTCTGTAAGCACCTAACTCTTAAAGGAAAGGAAATTTTAGAGCTGGAATAAGGCCCAGTAGTTCCTTAGGCAGATAAACTATTATCTCTATTCCCCAGATGAAGCAGTGAAGCACTGACTGAGTGCACTGTCCAAAGTGGGAGAAAACAAGGAGTCACCTACTGACTTCCTTACAAGGATAGAGCAAAGCCAGAACAAAGCACACTGCCCACCCACTGCTTATCTTATGCATTTATGGAACCCTATGTGAAGTATTTATTTATTTCAGCCAATATTCCTTATCATCAATTGACTATGCTACTTTCCTTTCACTACTCTGATACAAAGCTTTAGGCCAATAGCTATAGACTTGCCATTTGTGAATACTACTACTAATTTAAAAAAAAACAAAATCATTCAAAAAGCATTTCACTAACAGCATTTTAAAGTAGAGGAAGGAAAAGAGAAGAGTACCTTTTGTATTTTCTGAAGGAGTTAGTAAAGCAAACTGGTTTAGCACATGGGCCTTGGAGTCAGCAGACAAACCTGGGTTTGAATCCTCCCCTTATGAAAGTTACTTAACCTCTCTTCAGCCTCAGTTTGCTTATCTGTAAAAGGGGAATAATAGTGCCTACTTCACAGAGTTGTTGGAAGGATGAACTGATCTAATGCAATGCTTGCCATGTATTCATCCACATCCATAATTATTGACTGGGGGGCTACTGTGGGCCAGATCCAAGTTTATGAGGATAGTTTATATACATCAGAAATAAAACAGATAAAAATTCCTACCCTCATGGTTACCTTTTAGATGAGGAAACCAAAAATAGATAAAGCATAGTAAGTTCATTACAATTTAGAAGGGAGAGGTGCTTCTAAAGACAGGAAAAAAATAAAAGCGTTGGGGGAGAGAGAAGGGAAGGAGGGACTACCCTTTATAACCAGGAGACCAGGGGGAAGTTTCACTGGGAAGATGACAAAGACTTGGAGGTAAGCAATTAGTCCCATGGGTTCTGAGGAAAGAACAATCTTGCCAGAGGGTCTGGCTAAAGCATAGTTGAAGGTCAGATCTTTTCGAAGAGCAGTAAGGTGGCCTACGTGGCTGGCGCAGAGTGAGCAAGGAGGAGACTAACAAGAGATGAGGTCAGAGAGGTAACAAGAGGCCTTGCAGATCACCAGAAGGACTTTAGCTTTTATTCTGAAACAGATGGGAAGCTACTGAAAACTTTTGAGCAGATAAGCACACTAACTTAAAGAACATATGAAAACTGTATGACACCCAAAACAACCTATAGTGAAACTATCCGAACCATGGTTGCAGAGGAAGGGACTTTCTGAAGAGATAAAAATGTTCGTTCTTGACAGACTGGATTGGTGCATGGGTTTGTCAAAACTGACTAAATTTTACATATAGTTAAGATTAGTGCATTTTACTGTAAGCAAATCATACTTCAGTTAATGAATTTGATTAAAAAAAGCAATTAATTCTTATAATAACATTTGTATAGTGAGCACTTTAAAAGCATTTTCACACACACAAAATAAATAATACTCTTAACAATACTATATAATAACTTTTTCAATTTTAGATGATTAGACGCTAAAGAAGTTTTCCAAGGCCAGTTAGCTAGTAAATGGGTTCTGAGATCCAGTCCAATGTCCAACTCCCCCACATATGCTGGATCACTGCCATAAAATATCACTATGAATTGACAACTGGGCAAGCTGGGCAGGTCACTAGATGACTCAGTCTAGTAAACTTATCTCTAGAACTATGACTTCACCCTAAAGGTCTGTCAATGGTCCTTTCGGTATAGAATTCTCTGCTTCCACCTGGAGGTGCTGCAGAATGGTGCTAAACAAGCAGAGAAGTGGAGGAAACAGACACGCATAAATGGGTGGGGAACACAGGGTCCTGTTACTTAAAGTGGACAGCCATGATGTTATTCACTGGGGGGAGTAATATCCACTTTGTAGGCTTGTTAAAGAGAGAGCTCAATGTGTCAAACAAGTGACAAACAGCTTATCTAAATTATTATTCTTCAATTAAAATTTCTTTATAAAAGTCATCCTTTCACATGATAGAGATACACTCTATAGAACTTTTAATAAGAGAATACATACCTGAAATGAAATTGCCCCATCATTATTGTGAACAGAAAACGATTTCTCTGCCATTGCCTAAAGACAAAACAACCTGTTTTAGGATGATACTGACACATAAAGTATGCTAATTAAAATCAAAATTAATTTTAAAAACCCACCTTCTTACTGTATCTCAAATTTTCTGACCTTTAAAATTCTGAAAATAAAATTCTCTAACCTTGTCAAGATATTTGAAATCTTCTGTCAAACGGAAAAGGAATTCCTCTACCTACTTGTTTCCTTTCCTAAGCAGTCTGTTTCTACTTCTCTTCCCCACCAAATCTTCTTGCTGAAGTGCTTAGCTACTACCTCCAGCTAATACAGGCATACCTCATTTTATTGCATTGTGCAGAAACTGCATCCTTTTAAAAAATCAAAATTTGTGGCAACCCTGTGTTGAGCAAGTGTATCAGTGCCACTTTTCCAACAATTATATGCTCATTTTCAGTGTCTGTTTCACATATTAGTTATTCTCACAATATGTCAAAGTTTTTCATAATGTTATTGCTCATATAATAAACTACAGTATAGTGTAAACACAACTTTTATATACACTGGGAAACAAAAAAATTGTGTTAATCACTTTATTGAAATATGTGCTTTACTGCCGTGGCCTGAAACCAAACCCACACTATCTCGGAGGTATGCCTGTACTTGTATAAACTAGAGCTACTGACCCAGATCACACACTGAAATCCATTCTTAACTTGTAAATGATCAGGGAAAAAAAACTGTACAATGGAATAACACTGCAATAGAAGGCAATTAGCTACTGATACATGCAACAATGTGAATGAACCTCAGAATATTATGCTGAATGAGAGAAGACAAAAGAGTATACATGTAATTCACTCATATAAAATACAAATTAATCTACAATAACAGATCATTGGTTCTTTGAGGGTAGAAGGGTCACAAAGAGGTACGAGAAACATTTGGCAGTGATGGATATGTTGTTCATTATCTTGAGAGTAGTGATAATTCTAAAGGTATATACAGGTAGTCCCTAACGTCAAACATATTCAGGTAACAGACAAACTACAATTAAGATCAACTGTTGTTTGCTTGTTAGTAGTTGGTTTTTGTTTTTTGTTTTTTTTTTTAAATATCTTATCATTAGTAATTTGTATTACATACAGTGTTGCAGTATGTAATCTGATGATATCATCACATCAGTAAATTTATATGTAATGTTTCTAATCCCCAAAGATAAAAATAAAGATTGAATTGATAAAGACACTGATAATAAAAGGCAATTAATAACAAAAAATCAAAATGAGATATTCGACCTTCATCAGAATGGAGGAGTTGTCTGAACAAAACCTAGTCATAAGCTGGGACTACTTATACATATGTCAAAATTTATCAAATTGCACACTTTAAATATGTGCAGTTTATTATATACCAATTTTACCTCAATAATTTAAAAAAACCAAGCAAAAGAAACATTACCATTTAGATGCTCCGTACTGAAAAATAAAAATATCCCAAACCAAAACCTTCCCAAATTTTCCTCTTCTGCTATTTGTACCACTCATTCCATTGCAAAAAAAATCAACCTCTTCTCTAACTCCTCCACATCCAGAACCAGTCTCCCAGGCTGATCCCATATTTCACACTCCAAGGCTCTCACCCAGATCCTCGTCATCTAAACCTGTATTGTCACAACAGCCCCTCTAATTTCACTCTACATCACCAAGGTGACCCTGAAGATTACTTTCAGAGTAACGCTCTTTACTAATTATCATTTGTATCACATTCTCTCCTGATCAATAATTCACAATAATTTTCTACTGCCTATACTGAAAGACACTCTATTGTCTGGCTCCACATTATCTAATATGTCTCTCTCTTCCAGATATGTACCTTTTACTTTAAACAGGCCAGTGCCCAACCAGATGATCACCCCACCTCTGGTCCTTGTTTATGACATTCCCTATCCCTTCGTCTCTTCCTCTTCCACAAATCCAGACTCCAGGCTCATCCCTGATGATAGACAGCTGCTTCCAGAGGGCTCTTAAACTCAGCTTCTTTTACCCCTCGCTATCAGACCACCCATCACACAACTAGACATTCAATTTTAATCTGAAATTGTTCCAGTGTTCCAATCTTATCTCTCCAAATAAAAAAAGAACTCCCTGTAGACTACGCATATATGTATGATGTATATGTGCACACACACACACACACGCAAATACCCAGAAAGGCTGGGCACAAGTGGGGGGTTGGTTCTTACCTTTGAATTTACTGTGAAAAGCTGGACACAGGTGGGGGGCTAGTTCTTACCTTTGAATTTACTGTACTTCTTTTAGCTTTTCCATTTTCTGGAAACAGAAACATTTCATTGATATCACTGTCTCATTTAGATGACATATATATTACAGTATCATTTTATGAGTCTCCAGAATATCTTTGTTGTTGTTGTTGTTGTTAAGTGCCACTGAACTGGTTCTGACTTGTAGCATAGGGTTTCCGAGGATCAGCTGGTGGGTTTGAACTGCCACCGTGCAGTTCAAATTGACCTTGCAGTCTCAGTGCTTATCTGTCAGCGCCACACCAGGACTCCCCAGATTATCTAGTAGCAAATAATCCAAACAGTAAAACACCAAAGATGAGGCTAAACGCTATCACATGAACTGCCATCTCCTTAGGTCCCAAAAGAGAATTCTTGAGTCCAGCAGCGTCAAATCAGAAATTGTTCTATGATGTTGTTATTGTTATTATTATTGCTAATTACCAATAATAATAATTACCAGCAACCCTGTACAGAGCTGCCAGGGCTGTAGATCTTTGTGAGAGCAAAAGTCTCATTTTCCTCCTGCAGAGCCACTGGTGGGCTTGACTTACTGACTTTGTGGTTCACAGTCCAGTGTTTATCCTACAAAGTCACCAAGCTACCTAGTCTATGATAAATGCTACTTAAAAGTGAGTAGTTAGTACTAGCAGGGAAACACATCCCTAAATACTCTACTGTATGCTCTTGTCAGAAATGCCACATGAATTGACTTTCCTGATTTTCTAAGAAATTATGTTTGAAACAGAAAATTGTTCTAGAAAAAGAATGAAATTTATTTACATACATGAAAAAAATAATAGCAGATAATATTAGCAAAATGCATACTTTTTTTCCCCCACAACAAGATGTGCTAAGATTGCTAATGGCTTCTTTCACGATAGAGAGAGGACATCTGTGGCTTATCTTTTACTTAAGATTCTCTTCATGGGGATGATTTCAAGCTCCCTGTGGTAAGGCAGAGTTTCAGAATGAAAAGAAAAGCACATTTTCTGCCCAGCGAATTACGTGAGCATGAGGAACCTGAACAAGCAGGATATGGTGCACCAACATTAAAACTACAGCATCAAATAAATTTATAAATTCTGTATGCACTTTCATTTGGATTACATTTTGACAAACTGGAAAAAAAAAATGTATAAACAATCCAATAAATTGTAAATTATACAAAGAGCTCAAATAGTTCATTAGAAGAACCAGACAACTAATTAAAGAGGAAAGAAATATAAAATGATTAATCAACATGGGGAAAAGTACAGCCTCAGGAATAATAAAAAAGAAGTAAGAAAATAGAACACAAAACACTAGTACCCTTTTTGCCTTTCAATTTAGGATTACTTTACAAAAAAAATACACAAGATTGACTAGGAACTAATGATGTTGGCACCACACTTATACATTTCCAATAAATGAACACAAATCATTTAGAAAAATACTCTGATTTCTTTTCAGACTGTGTAAATCTTTTGCATTTTACAAATCATTTGGAAAAGAATTTGAAAATACACTAAAAAATATTTATACCCTTCAAATCAGAAATTACAATTGTGAGAATCCACCTTTTGTTGTTGTTTTAAGTGCCATCGAGTCAGTTCCAACATAGTAACCCTATATAGGGTTTCCTACACAGGAGCGACTGACTGGTGAGCTTGAACCGCTGACCTTTGGTTTCATTAACCCCACAGTGCCACACCAGGACTCCGGGAACCCACCCTAAAGGGAGTTAAAAACCCAGTGCCTCTGAGTCAGTTCTGACTCACAGCGACCCCATAGAGGATTTCTGAGACTGCATACCTTTAAGGGAGCAGACAGTCTCATCTTTTCCTGCAGAATGGCTGGTAGGTTTGAACCACCAACCTTGAGGTTTGCTCATCTTATAGTGCCATCAGGCAAAAAAGAAAGGTCTATGAATGAACAATATTAAAATAGCCTAAAATTGAAATGTAACCCTTAAGATTAGTATCCATTTCATGGGTATAAGGACACCTGATGTGGTACTGCAGGATAAGCAATGGACTGATAACTACGCGGTCACTGGTTCAAACCCACCAGTCACTCCTTGGAAAACCTAGATAGGGTTGTTATGAGTCAGAACAGACTCAATGGCACTTAACAACAATATAGGTATAAAATATGTTAACATAAATAGGGATAGATATTAAATTATAAATACGCCTATGAATTTTTTTTAAGCAAATACTGTAGAATTCTGAAACTAGATTGAAAGAAAACATAAACTACCAAAATTCTAACATTGTGATTAAAAAGAACTAACTGTTCTTTTTTCTTGTTTTCTGCATTTTCCACATTCTTTTTAAGTGGTTATGTATTTTCTTATATAACCTCCAAAATAAAATAATGCTAACACCACAGTGGACATAATATGTTTTTACTTAGTAACAGAAAGGATAAGGAGCTCTGGTAGCATAGTGGTTATGAATCGGGCTGCGAATCTTAAGGTCAGCGGTTCGAAACTACCAGCTGCACCGCGGGAGAAAGATGAGGCTTTCTACTCCGGTAAAGATTTACACCCTCAGAAACCCTATACGGGGTCGCTATGGGTCGGAACCGACTCGATGGCACATAACAACAACAACAACAGAAAGGATATACAAAGCAGAGTAGTGAAAAAACACTGATTTCACCCTAAGAGTTTACCTGTTTGGTTGCTTGTTGATGCAGGGTTACCACCAGGTTCCTCCTGACTCTGACCAATGACTTTCTCATCCTTGCTGAAGATGATCTTTGGTAATTGGGTACCAGCTTCTGGTGGGGATTTTATTCTTAGTCTACAATGAAATAAAACATAAAAAACAAAACTTCAAAGCAATGCTTACATCCATTTATTAAGTGCTGTATGATAGGCATTGTATCAAGTTCTCAATATGTACTTTCATGTAGTCCTTACAATGTGACAGTATGGATTTTATATCTGCATTGTATAGATGTAACTGAAGGTCGAAAGGGTCAAACAACTTGCCTATGGGCAGCAAACTAGGAAGTAGCAAGACTAAAACCCAGGTAGTCTCACTTTAAAAGCTAAAACTCTTAGCAATCACACTAGTCCACAGTTCATATTTCGTTCCCCCATCCCCACCCTCCAATCCTTAATATGGTCAATAAACCACTACACCAGGAAAAAGAAAAAAGGTTAAAAAAACAAAACAAAAAAACTACGATGCTAAATTGAAATCTATGGGAGCATGAGAGAGGCAGTGGACACTATTAGTTCCCTGGCTAAAATCCCTTTATTAACAGACACAATTTTGTTTATATATGCATTTTGTCAACAGAGGGGCCAGTGACCATTCTGATGCCTGAATGGACACATTCAAATTGAAGCGATGCATATCTAGTTCCTGACTAGGACTCAGGGAGAAGCTCTCCTCTTCCCCACTTGGCTGAATGTGAACAGTGAAGTAGTCATCCAATGACTACTTCCATCATCCAATGATGAAAAGGTCTGAGGATGGCATAGCAGAGATGAAAAGGTCCCACGTTCCTGATATCATTAAATTATTGCTGATCTCTCACCTGAAGCCCACCTGCCCCAACTCTGACTCCCTCTCTCTTTTTCTAATCTCCAGCACTCAGCACATTACTCAGCACACGGCAGACATCAATAAATGCTAATTTAACACTAAAGTCCCCCAACTTTACTGTAGGATTGAACTGAAAGAACATTAGAATTACTTACTCACTTCTGGAGATGTCTAAGATTAGAAGGGTGACAGAAACAGATTGTTTCTTTAAAATACAGTAATTGGCATCTTCATCCTGAGAAGGCAAGAACCAATTGTACATCACCCTATTCATTAACACTAAAACAAGAACAAAGTTTTCAGGAACAAGCAAAAAAGTGGTGCAATCTCCATTCCAAACAGTAAACAAAACTGTGGGTGCTCAGAAATTTTTGTTAATCAAAGCAGTCATCACCTCAAGAAAAAGGCACCGAAAGAAGAGAGATGTCCCCAACTCAGTCTCTTGGGATACACTGAGGAGTGACTAGGTCATGCACTTAATACTTACCAGGTAAGAAGAAAATCCATCATTCTTTGTACGGTCTAGGCTAAAACCGATCTGAAAGGAAGGAAGAGGTGTAGAGGTAAGTAGTCATATAAGGCCCATACCTTTCTTGCTCACACAGAAGAAAAGGTGATTTTTTTGGTCTGGCTTTCTCTAGTTTCTTAGCATTCTTTTTGTTAAGAAGGCAAATACAGCTTAAGTAATATCACTAACTATGGAATTACTCAACAATTAAAAAACTTAAGTGTTAAAAGTAAAACTATCTGATATTTAATTTACATAATAAACTGGTAAATTTAATACAAGGAGCAAAGCTTTTACCTAATCAACAAAAAAGGGTAACACCTTCCCCTCACCAATGGCATTTAAAGATACTTACAGTTGCATCCTTGTCTGTGATTCCTTTAAGCTCGTTGACTGACAGGCTAGTGACATTAACCACCATGTACCCATCCTTGAAGAATCCAAAGGTGTTCAGATGAACCTTATGCCGCACATCATTCTAAAAAGATATGCAGTGGCAGAATTAGTAATATGCAAAAGGTAACTTAATGTATTTATTGTCTTGAAAAAGTATGGGATCTAATTTTCCACTTTGCTGTTAAGGGCCACTTTGAGTTGGTGCTGACTCACAGCAACTCTTTACAGGGTTTTCAAAGAGCAGTTGGTGGGTTTGAACCATCAACCTTGCAGTTAGCAGTCCAGGGCTTATCATACAGCGCCACACATATGCTAATAATACATACACAGCCGTGATACCTTATTTTTCTCCAAAAGCTGAAGTCAACTAATCAAAAGTCCGTAAGATATAGACAGTTTTGCACAATGAAGGATACAATGGATTCAATTAGAGGTGTTGTTGTTAACTGCTGTCGAGTCAGTTCCAACTCATAGCAACCCTGCACAGGGTTTCCTAGGAGCGGCTGGTTGAGACTGAACCACCAATATTATGAATCAAATCAACCTTGTGGTCCAGCACTTTATCCCACAGCACCACATCAGGACTCCTAAATTAGAGTACCTTCAATAAGTTTATTAGAGTACTTTCAGTTAATTTACAATAAATCATTTGAACTGCAAAGTTGGCAGTTCAAGCTCACCAGCTGCTCCTTAGAAACCCTATATAGGGTCGCTATGGGTCAGAATCGACTCAACAGCACTTAACAACAACAGCAGTTATTAAATAGTCAACAACTAACAAAAACTGCCAAGTACTATGCTAAGTCTTTTCCAAAATTTGCATTTGGTTCTTCCTCAAATTTGCAGTCTAGTGAGCAAGAACTAGTGTTTGTTCTTGCTCACTATTTTTGTGTGTTTTGTATCTAAAAATATATATAATGAAATATGTTATTTCAACACTTTGATGTACAAGCTTTTAATTTTTATGAAGTCCATTTATCTATTTTGTCTATTTTTTTCTAGCTCTTAGAGAATCTTAGAATTATGGGTTGAGGAAAAGGGGGCCTCAGTTCCAATTCCCCTTCCTACTTGGGTCTAAGACTTTGATTCTTATACCCCCCTCATCTGCTGTTAAAAATTCAAGGCTCTAAGAAGTACAGGGAGTCCTGGTGTGGTGCTGTGGGCTAATTAATGCATCAGGCTGCAAAGTCGTTTGAACTGCAAGGTCAGTGGTTCAAGCTCACCTACTGCTCCTTGGAAACCCTATACAGGGTTCACTATGGGTCGGAATCGACTTGATGGCACTTAACAACAACAACAAAAAGTACAGACTTTTACCACTGGGGTTTCAGCTCCTTCTCCCTTTATTTTATTTATTTATTTGACTATTGGGAATTCCCTTTTTGTAGAGACTCAGCTATGTATTTAAAGCATATGTGATGGGCTTCCACTCTCCAGTGGGATGGTATAGCTTGCAGCAAACTAGCGTTCCCAAGGAGAACCAGAGAAGACAGATGATATAATAGAAGTCCTCTACTGAAGAGCTTCTAGAACAGCTAAGGCTCACAGACTGTCCCAAGGTTCTTTGAGAGCATTCATCCAACAGAAATTATTTGAATGACTATTTTTTCAATTCCCCCAGAATGGTATATTTTATAATGCCACTATATCTTATCTGCACAGGAGAGAACTTAATACAGTTACAAACAATAGATGCCTTAGGACAAAAGAGTTTTCATTCTCTGGCAGAACCCCCAACTGAGAAGAACTGCTGAGAAAAAGTGAAAGAATGATCAAATTCCCACAACATAAAACATTAGTAAGTCTCTCAGACACAATTCTGAGTGACAAGCCATAGTCACAATAAAACTACCCAGTTGCCGTCAGTCAATTATCACTCAGGGTGACCTAATTTGGTTAGAGTAGGACTGTGCTATCTATAATTTTCAATAGCTGGATGTTTGGAAGTAAACTGCCACGTCTTTCTTCCTAGGTGCCTCCAGGTGGACTCCAACTTCCAATCTGCCACCTAAACATTTATAATTTATGCCACCCAGGTGTTCCATATTCAGCATATCAAAAAAAAAGAAGAAGAAGAAAACCCTACTGCAATCCAGTCAGTTTTGACTCACAGCAGCCCTATATAGGCTTTCTGAGGCTGTAAATCTTTATGGGAGCAGAAAGCCTCATCTTTCCCCTGCCTAGCGGCTGCTGGATTTGAGCTGCTGAGCTTTCAGTTAACAGTCCAGTACTTATTGTACAGTGCTACCAGGGCTCCTGACTCCAAATGCAGCATAGGTACAGCAAATGAGAACGTGGTGGGGGGGAAACTTTAATGATAGAGGTTAGGATTGAGAATGATGGAGTAGGGGCTTTCCAGTTATTTGGTTGGGGGTGGGTGCATTTAGAAGCCTTAGACTATAGGTAAAATTGTTCACTGCTGGTTGCACAAGTTTGTTTATAGTGAAGAAATTCATTTATATTCTTATGAGTAATTTTTGGTACATTTGTTGTTGTTAGGTGCCATCGAGTTGGTACGACTCATAGCAACCCTACGCACAGCAGAATGAAACACTGCCCAATCCTGGGCCAACCTCACTACTGTTGCCACACTTGAGTCCATCAATGCTGCCACTTGTCCAATCCATCTTATTGGGAGTCTTCCTCTTTTTCTCTGACCCGCCACCTTACCAAACATGATATCCTTCTACAGTGACTGGTCCCTCCTGACAATATGTCCCAAGTATGAGAGACGAAGTTTGGCCATCTTGGCCTCCAAGGAGCACTCTGGCTGCACTTCTTCCAACACAGATCTGTTGGTTCTAGGGGGAGCCCATGGCATTTTCAATATTCTCCCCCAACACCATTAAACCAAAAGCATCAATTCTTCTATGGTCTTCCTTATTCACTGTCCAGCTTGGTACATATATACTTCAATAAAAGAGCTCTGGTGGCACTATGGGTTAAGCATTGGAGTGCTTAGCTGAAAGTTTGGCAGCCTAAACCTACCAGCTGCTCTTAGGGAAAAAGGATGAGTAGTCTGTTTCAATAAAGATTCACAGCCTCAGAGACCCTAGCGACCAGTTCTACAGGGTCCTATAGGGTAGCTATAAGTCAGAACTGACTCGATGGCAGGGAGTTTAGATTTTTAGTAAATAGGTCAATAAAATTTAAAAGTATGCTTGCTCTAATTTATTCAATATTTAGATGTTTTGCAGATGCATGGATATATGCTAAGTAATTTTTTTATATTCATTTAGTTCACCATAAAGTATGTTTTCCAGGTTGTTTTTCTTTGGATAAAATTTTTAATTGCAACTTAATAACAGTTGCTTGTTTTTACATTAGCAGTATATTCCTTTGTTTTCTTACCTTTATACGATAATTTCATTTGTCAATTAAAAAAATCAAACTAGTTACATTGAATTGATTTCAACTCAATGCAATCAAACTGTTAAAGGTGAAGCTAATTTGCTACGTACGTAAACTTTCACCTTAAACACAACAAATGAACTATCACTTTTTTCCCATCAAATTGGCAGAAATTAAGATTTATAATCTGTTGTATTGTTAAGTAAGTAGGAACATGAACACTCTAAACATTCTCTACACTACTGGAAAAGAGATGTAAATTGATAAAAACCTCTATAAAAGGTTATTTAGATTTTCCATTTAAAGTAAGAAAACACTAGAAAGATGTTTACTTATGTTTTACTGATTGAAGACTTTCGACAGTGTGGATAATAACAAATTATGGATAATATTGAAAAGGATGGAAATTTCAGAACACTTAATTGTGCTCATGAGGAGCCTATATATAAAATCAAGAAACGTACATGTCAGGGTTAAATCCTTTCACCATACTATTCAATTTGTGTACTGCACAAATAATCTGAGAAGCTGTACAATATGAAGAGTGTGGCATCAGGATTGGAGGAAGACTCATTAACAACCTATGATATGCAGGTGATACAACCTTGCTTGCTGGAAGAGAAGAGGACTTGAGCATTTACTAATGAAGATCAAAGACTATAGCTTTCAGTATGGATTACACTGTAAAGAAAACAAAAATCCTCACAACTGGACCAATAAATAAAATCACAATAAACAAAGATTGAAGTTGTCAAGGATTTCATTTTACTTTTGATCCACAATCAACATTTATGGCAGTAGAAGTCAAGAAATCAAACCATGTATTACATTGGGCAAATTTGCTGCAAAAAAACATCTATAAAGTGTTAGATAGCAAAGAGGTCACTTGAGGACTAAGGTACACCTCACTCAAGCCACAGAAATTTCAATGGCCTCATATGCAAACAAAAGTGAAGACTATAGAAAATCAGTGCATCTGAATTATAATACTGATGAAGAATATTGAGGTAGCATGAACTGTCAAGGAACAACAACAAAAAAATCTTGAAAGAAGTGCAGCCAGGTTCCTTGGATGCGAGGATAGCAAGATATTGACTCATCTACTTTGCATATGTTACCAAGAGGGACCAATCCGTGGAAAAGGATATCATGCTTGGCAAAGTACAGGGTCAGAGAAAAAGAAAGTCATCTCTTATTTCACCACCTTGCAAAAAGCATTTAAAATGTGGAGGGTTTACTCTAGTCACCATGTTTTCTTTCATATAATTTATTATGAATTATGAAACTTAAACATGCTCAGAGAAAACCATTTTTTTTAAATACAGAGTAGTAGCTGTAACGTTATCATCTAGAGATAACTCGCAGTAACAGTTATCTAGTAAAAACAGTGTAGTGTTTTCCTTTCACATAGACATTTAAGACTCATTTTTTAGTGATTATAACTCTTAAATAAACAACTATCTTATCAGTTAGAAAAGCATAAGCAGAACCATAATTTATGATTCTGCTATCTGATGATCAACTATGGACAGAGCACCCTCCACTACCCAGGTGTAGACAATTTCTATTTCTATAAACAGGGCAGCAAAACTTTACCAATAGTTAAGTGTTCATTTTAGGAAAACCAGAAAACAGAAACACATTTATTCCCTCATCTAATGTATAATCATTTACTCCCCACTATATTTTAGGCAATCATCAGCAAAACAAGTGTGGCCCCTGCCCTCAAGA